TTTTAGCAAGGATTTTCTGCACTGTTGGTATTTGTGTGTGTGTGTGTATTTAAGATTTCATTTTATTTATTTGAGAAAAAGAGCAGGAGGAGAGGAAGAGGGAGAAGCAGACACCACACTGAGGAGGGAGCCTGAGGCTCAGGACCTGAGCCAAAGGCAGACACTCAATCGACTAAGCCACCCAGGCGCCCCTGTTGCGTGAATTTTTAGAATTGCATCTGTTCTTTTTGTGGATGCAAAAAAAAAATTTTATTTTTAAGTAATTTCTACACCCCACACGGAGCTCGGAACCACAACCTAGAGATGAAGAGTCACTCGCTCCTCCCACTGAGCCAGCCAGGTCCCCTCAGTATTTTTTTTTTTTTTTTTTTTTTAAGATTTTATTTTAGAGAGAGCATGAGCGGGAGGTGCAGAGGGAGAGAGGGGGAGAGGAAGAGAGAGAGAGAGAGGGAATCTCAAGCAGACTCCACACTGAGCGCAGAGTCTGATGTGGGGCTCAATCCCAGGCCCCTGCGATCATGACCTGAGCTGAAACCGAGTCAGACGCTTAACCAAATGCGCCACCGAGGCGCCCCGCACCTGCAGTATCTTAGCTAAGAAAATTAACCAGATTTTTTGTTTCTTAAGGTAACCGTCCTGCATTTTGTTTCCTCCAAGATGGCTTCTTCTGGTGTCTTTTTTTTTTTTTTTTTTTTCCTTCTGTTGTCCTTACGTAGGGATCTTTGGCTGACTCACGTTTAAGAATGGGGCTCTAAAAGGTGTGGGAATTCCTGTCGGTGTAGGTAGGGTTTGGCGGCTGAGGTCCTTCCACTGAGGTGCTACCTCCAGTTAGCATTAGGAGGAAAGACCTTTTTAAGTGGTCATTGCACACTCCCTAGGGGTTTCTCCAGTTGTCTGCCCTCTGCCAGGAGAAGCAAAGGCAGGCTGCCAATGCCCAGCAGCAGAGAGGGGAAAGGCGACTGGTGAAGCCTTTACACCCAATATGGTAACTTCCCCCTTAACCCTCTTTTCTGTAAAGTAGCCAGACTCTGTACTCTGCCTGGCCTCCCAGGGTTCTGCAGGGTGATGGACAGGAAGCCAGCAGGCTACATGCAAAGGTGAGCTGGTCTGCTACCTTGTCTTTCAACTGACCCTGTATTTTTAGCCCCGTTTCACTTCCCCTTCCTCAGGTTCCTGGTACTAATGCCTCACCCTTTGGGGTCAGCGGAGTTCTCAGCGCTAATCCAACTATAATCCCTCTGCTTTCCAGCCTCATGGGCTTTTGCCATTAAGAAAATCTTTCCCTGTCACTTTAATGGGGCCTCAGGAGCCAATGGACCCAAGTGTGTGACTTCATCGCACTATGCTTAAGTTCAAATTACTTTAAGCTAAAAAAGCATTAGTTTGAAAACCAAATGAACATACCAGTGACCAAGATTTTCTTAAATTCTGTATCACAGAGCATCTCTAACGTGCATTATCTTCTTTGAAGTGGATGACAACTCTGAAATATAAAGATTATCCTTTCTGTCTTATGGATGAGAAAAATGGGGGAAAAAAGAGGTTCACACACTTTAAAGCAAAAGGACCACATAAGGCCAAATCTAGACAAAATTTTTTTTAATTAGAATTTATTAGAAATATTAAAAATCAGGAGAACCTGCATTCACACATCCAATTTCAGCAGCTCTTGAAAGATTGGGAAATGGGGCGACGTGGTGCCCACACACTTCCTGTGGTGACAATCACTTGGAGCTGAATCCCAGCTAATCCTTTCAGATGGGGCCTGTCTCCCCAAATCCCCCTCCTTCCACAGCTACTTCATCCAGTCGGCCACTCTGTCCCTTGTTACTAGGAGACATTTGAATTTGAAAGGGAAAGCAAAGAAACCACTTTATTTGAAAAGACCATATGGAAGTGAATACATATGCAAAAATAAATTTGTAACACAGGCCACTCCCCTGGGCCCCACCCAGGGTTCACCTTGTCTAAGTTAAATGGTTACCTTGAGAGTAGAAATAGGAGTAACAGGCACAAATCCATGCAGAGAAAATGCATATTTTGTCTCCTTTCCCCCACACAAGCTGCATATGCTTTTGTAAACATGTGTCCACTTGTAAAGCATGTCCAGTACCACAGACAAATGTGCTGGGATGAAAGGAAGTCATTAAGATAGCAAGGAGGGCACTTTACCTGGCTTGGTTCCCCAAGTTTGCATTTGACGATGAATCCCCACAGTGCCTCAGGGGAGGGCAGAGGGGGCTGGTTTTCAGATGTCCAGGGGTTTGAGATTTTTTTTTTTCCCCTCTAACAAAGTGTGCTTTAAAAAAAAAAAAAAAAAAAAAAAAAAAAAAAAACCAAAAACCCTACAGCAAACCTGAAAGGGACATTACACTCTAATCTAATTTTAAATTTTATTCCCAGGATCCTCTAAGTAACAGCAGCTTTCAAATCCTAGCTGTAGCTAGCTGCTAACCAGCAGGGTCACTGTGAGAATTTATCTTTCAAAACCTCGGTTTCTCCATCTATGATGGAAGATACAGGACATATCCCAGACTTTGCTGATCTCTTGAACCTGTTCTTGCCCTTGAAGATGGTCTCTGATGTCTTCCCAGTTGGGCTGGAATGTCCTGGGGTCGTCTTTTGTTTCTGCATGTCATTTTGTTTCTGTGGGGGTGGGAGGGGAATGCCCTCACCAGCTTTAGCAGGCACAAAACTAGGTTTTGAAGGTGGGATAAGCTCTTCTACTGGCTCAGATCAATCTGGGCATCACGCAGATCATTTGACTCTCACTGGTCTTCAATAAGCATTTGCTAAGCTCTCTATCCAGGCCATCCCAGCCTCCTGGAAGAGAAGCTGGCTGAGCTAAGGGCGTGAAGGTGCGTGGGTTAGAACTGGAGGAATGACACTGTAAGCCAATTGGGACAACAAATCATTAACTGGGAGGAAGACACAGAGCCACGGATCAGGTGCTGTGACTAGGGCTGGCTCTCCGTTTGCTCACACATTTATGTCCAAGGGCTTCCTCTGCCAAGGCGCTGTGTTTTTGAGCACTGGAAGCTGAAAAACTGGTATCACTTTTGACTTCTGGGCGTACTACAGTAACCCCCTAGTCAAGGGTTACAGCCGAGTGGGCAAACCACTGCCTAGGCAGGCTGTTTTGGTAAGAAAAGTTTTACTCGAACATCAGCCAAGCTCATTCATTTACGTACTGTTCCTGGGTGTTTCTTCACTACGACAGCAGGGCTGAGTAGTTACAACAGAGACCCTAGGACCCACAAAGCCTACGATATTTACTACCTGGCCCTTTACAGAAGGTAAGAAGTTAAGTCACAATCATGCCGCTTCTCACTTACATTTACCATATGCAATTTAACTAACTGTATGCACTGGTTTAAAACACACAAACGAAAAACCTAACATAAGCCAACCCCCTTGATGGGGTGCAAATGAAAAAGGGGTGATCAGTCCCCACTTGGAAAGGAAGCTGGTTGTGGTGAATCCATACACAAAAATGAGGGAACCTGTAATTTACAGACGTTCTAAAGGATTTTTTTTCAAGGGTAATTCTGAGCCTGCTTGATTTTTTTTTTTCCCCTAGTGCACACTCTGAACTTTGGAACTAAAGGTTCAAATGCTGGCACAGGTTCACGACTCCACAACACTTAACAGTAATGTGTTGAAAGAGCTGTTTTCACGGACAGATAAGAACAGTTTGTATGTCACGTCCTGCTTTCGTTTTGTTTTTTTGATTTTTAAACACAGAAAGAGAGGCTGCTTCAGCATTGGGGCTTGATCAAAGCAGTGTGTTCGCTTTGCCTTGATGCACCCGCTGAAATCATACTGATATTAAATCTTACTCCTTTTCAAGGGAAAGCTCATTAAATACAGAGCCACAGCCTGGCCCTGGGGAAACTACTGCAACTAATGAGTGTTTATAGTTCTTGCCCTCTCATCCTCAAAACATTTTAGACAAATCTCAAGGGGCTGCTGCTGAAATCATCCTGCTGCAATTTGCAAGAAAACCAGCGCAGCTTCAAGCAGAAAATGGCAAGCACAGGGGCCGGGGAACAGAGCCAACATAGGAACGTCAGAATGTCAGATGCTAAGGAACCACAGAGCAACACTGTACAGAGATACTTGGGTTAAACACTGTGGATGCCGCCACTGAGATGTGAGGTTATGTATGTCTGCTTGGAGGAAAGGCTCCAATTCCAAACAGCTGTCCTCACACGTTAAAGATTTGAGGTGCACCCACTTCTACACTAGCTGGAGAAGTTAGAGGTAGTAAATGTGTGCATACAAAAAAAAAAAAAAAAAAAATCAAACCTGCTTTATAAAGCCCACTGTAAAAAGCATGCTGAAAGATGGAATTTGGCTGTATTCCTGGAAATCAGTTGCATTTGGGAAGAAAATTAAATGAGGAGATTAGTGAACGGTCAGTGTGTAGGCCTTTGCCAAGAGCGAAAGGGGGCCTGGGTACCGTGCAATCACACATCCGCAGAAGAATGCCATTCGTGCTCCCAAGTGCTCTGAGAGGTAGGGCTCTGCACTAAATCATGATAATCCACACCCCACGGAAAGCTACGGTGCAACTCTACCTTCCCCATCACAGCTCAGGAAACAAGTTCTGTGGGCCCGATATTTCATTTCAGTTCAGCCTGAAAAAGCTGGCGAGCAAAGCCCAAAGCCCCATTTTTTTTTTTTTTTTGATTGTCATATGGTTTCACTTATTTGTGGAACATAAGGAATAGCATGGAGGACACCAAAGCCCCATTTTTAACCCATGGCAGAAAAGCACTTTCTTATATCTCATGGAAAAAAAAAAAAAATTGGGGGGCTTTTTCAATCCCTGCTCCCCAAGATGCTGCCCTAAGGGGCAGCTGTAGTGTCTTCGCTAATAGCAAAGACATTTTCAAGAGTCAGACAACGAAATACAAAAGTTGATTTACAACACACTAAAAATACTTGCCCCTCCCCTCCAAACACCCCCTAAAGCAAGGCAGTAAGTCTTTTTTTCCTCCTGTCTTAGCGCTTCTGCTTGGGACTGGCCGGCCGGGATTTTCCTGGCAAGCTACTCCTCCATCTGCGCCCAGGCCTCCTCCGCCTTCTGGTAGTACTGGTTGGCCAGCCGGCCCTTCATGGCTTCCATCGCTGCCTCGGCTGCCTGCGTGTACAAGTCGCCTGAAGAAGAGCAAAGTGGGGCACAAAGAGGTGAACCGCCTGTTGTTTTCGCCAGTTCCCCCGTCCCGAACCCCTCCCTGGGAACTGCCATCCTCAACTACTCCTCATCCCTTTACCGCTTACAGACCCTGCGTGGACACGTGATTCAAGCCTGGCCAATCAGAGCACCCTTCCGACTCCCACCAGGCCTTACGGACTTCCGCATAGCCAATCAGACACCCAGACTTAAGCATAGCCAATCGGAATAAGCCATCTCCATGAGCTCAGTGATTGGTATAGAGTGGGTGGGTGGGTTTCCATTTGAGCCAATGAGAATCAGGCTGGGGATTCTGACAAGACTAATTGGGAGGAATGCATGGAAGGGGAAGAAATAAAGTAGAAGAAATAAAGATTATGAACAGCCTCGTGTCAGTTCTGGAGAGGTTTTACTTCCAAGAAAATTTGTGCAACATATATAAAAACACTTGGTTTTCTGAGTTTTTCTGGATTTAGAAATTTCACATAAAGATTACAGAATTGCATTATAGATTATAGAATTGCATAATAATTGCATTATTATTATTTGCTTAGTTTTTTTTTTTAACTTTCAAACTTTTAAATTTAGTCTCGTCCTTTGGAATTAGGAGGTCAGTATGTTTATTATGTAACAGAAAAAAATATATATGTAACGTGCAAATCAACAGATGTGTGGATAAACAAAACACACTGTATCTGTATGCTGGGATATCATTTGGTAATAAAAGGGAATGATGTACAGATACATGTTACAATATGGGTGAACCCTGAAAACATGATGCTGAGTGAAAGAAGCCAGATACAAAAGACCACGTATGGTACGATCCCATTTATATGAAACATCTAGGTAAATCCATGCAGACAGGCAGTAAGTTGGTGGCTGCCAGGGATGGGGGTAGCAGGGAAACGGGGAATCACCACTAACAGGGGACAGAAATGTTCTGAAATTAGACAGTGGTGATGGCTGTACCACATGACGAATATACTGAAAGCCACTGAACCATACACTTATAAATGGTGAATTTTATGTAATAAAAGTGTCAGTTCAATTTTTAAAACTGCAGAAATATCAAACTCCTAATATGTAACCATTAAAACAAAAGTGTTCACCTGCATACCAGCTCCATAAAGCGGTAGGAATCTCTTTCCTCTCCAATGAAAGAAGAGACTCAGTCTTGTGTCTTGCTGTAATTCCCACTGAGGCAGGAATTACATCCCTCCCAGCCCAGCTCGATCCTCCTCACCCCCACCCCACCAGGGGCAGCACAGTCAGGCCCTACCTGATCTCTGTGGGTCCTTCTCGAGCCCGCAGCCGCCAGTGAACAGCATCTCCGCCTCCCTGGCCAGCAGCGTGTACCGAGGCTCATCCTGCATCCCGTCGTACTCACCGCCCTCATCACAGTCCGTCATCTCCAGGGCAGTGTTGTACCAGTGCAGAGCCTCCGGCCAGTCCTGGCACCTTCCAGGACATGGAAAGGAAAAGTTAGAAGTTACCATGGCAACAGGCAAGAGGGAGGAGGTCCATCAGCAGGAGGGACAAATCAGGGATCCCAGCGGGGCCACCACCTATGATTCATGACCCCTAGTGCCCAATGCTACCACATCTAAGGGCTGTCATTCGCACTGCAGATTTACATATTAAGACAGCAGTCAAGTAGCTTTCCCTAGCAAGACTGGTGTATTACACAGTTTTCCAGCAGATGTGTAGAGTATCTTGAGGAGGGGGGTTGTTTTTCTAGTTTGTACAAAGTCACACTCTGGGCTAGCACTAGCAGTGGCTGGGACACCAGCCAATCTACCCTATGACTCAAGTAGGAGAAGAGGTGGGTGGGGGACCTTTTGCCAAGGCCTCTGCCGGTGCTGGCCAGCTCTGGCTCTCCTCCAGCACAATCTGGGGCTCTCCCCAGAATAGCGGGCTTCTCTCTCTGGTTCTGCCCCTCTACCCTCAACTCTTTCTCCTACTATAGCACAAGAACGGCCAAGCCACCGAGGGCAGACATGTTCCACCCACATCTACACAACACTAAATACTGAGCAAACAGGGCAGCGGGCTCTTTTCTTGGAGTGTACTAACTAAGCATGTGAGTAACTATTTATAGCACATCAGGAAAGAGCAAAGAGAGATGCAGATAAGAAAGTCTGTGGGTCTCATGAAATGTTCCAGGAGCCACAGCGCCAGTGCCTTGCTGGCCTCTCCTCTGAGGCCCTACCTCACTCCTCACTATGGGCCAACCCCATCTTCACTCCCACTAACCTTCCTCAACGCCAGACTGGCTGGGCCCCCTTCTCTTCCCTGAACATGCCAGACCCCATCTGCCCCTTGGCCTTTGCCCCTGCTGCTCCCTCCGCTTGGAACGTTCATTCTCTGCCTTTCCATACCTGACTCCCCATCCCCCCAACCTCGGCTCCTATGTTACCTCTTTGGAAGCATCATCCCCAAACACCTCATTTCCTACAACCGCCCTAATCTGCAATTCTCCTGTTTACTTATTCACTCATTTATCATGGTTTCTGCTGGCTAGAACATAAGCTCTAAGAAGACTGGAACTTTGTTTTGTCCACTGCTGCGTTCTCGGGGCCTGGCAAATAGCTCAGCCTCCCTCACGGAGGCCGAAGGAATAAACGTAACCACGTGGCTGCCTGGCATGGGGTTCAGGAGAGAACACCGATTCCATTTTATTTAACAGAAAGGGCAAACCATCTGTGCATTACACCGGAAAGAGGAGAAAGGACCTAATTTCTGCCCAACCCCCGCCCCACCCCACAGTACCCCGAGTGGTCAGGGTGCCCCCCCTGCCTCAGGATTTCCAAGGACTTTTCCTTCCCGTGTTAAGTGGTAACTTCTGAGAAGGCTGAAACCACAGAAACGCAAATTTGGGCCTACATGGGGCCCTGCCTTACCCAGAGCTGGCCCTTAATTAACGCTCCCTGAATGGAAGAGGCTGGAACTGCTTGGAATGAGGAAGAAGAATAAGAAAATGACTATAGCAGAAGCTATAAAAGAAAATCGTGATAGATTTAACTATATGAATATTAAAAACCAGTTGCCCCAAACCCAGTAATGATGGCCAACAAGTGGAAATGTGGCCCCCCTCCCCCCACAGGGATGGCAACCAGCCCTGAAAAACATTTTTTTTTTTTTTAAAAGAGAAGCATATGCCTAAAAATTGATAGCTTTAACATTAAAAAATTCTTAACAGGGGAGCCTGGGTGGCTCATCAATTAAGCATCTGCCTTGGGCTCAGGTCATGATCTCTGGGTCCTGGGATCGAGCCCCATATCGGGCTCCCTGCTTGGTGGAGAGTCTATTTCTCTCTCTCCCTCTCCCTCTGCTGCTCCCCCTGCTTGTGCGCACACGCTCTCTCTCTCTCTCTCTCAAATAAATAAATAAAATCTAAAAAAAATGTTCTTAACAAATCAAAAACAAAACAAAACACTATCATCTTGAATAAAAAGTAAACAAAAGGGGCGCCTGGGTGGCTCAGTGGGTTAAGCCTCTGCCTTCAGCTCAGGTCATGATCTCAGGGTCCTGGGATCGAGCCCTGCATTGGGCTCTCTGCTCAGCAGGGAGCCTGCTTCCCCCTCTCTCTCTGCCTGCCTCTCTGCCTACTTGTGATCTCTCTCTCTGTGTCAAATAAATAAATAAAATCTTAAAAAAAAAAAAAAAGTAAACAAAAGGCATGAGGAGAAAACACACAGAGGAAAGCCTTTCTAAGGACCTTAAAGACAAATCTGCAATGCCCACCTCCAGCCCCTCCCACCTGTGCCAGGCTCCTCCACCCCTGCATTCAATGGGCACCATACATGTTGGCATTGGACCTGACGTAATCACAGCATGTCTTTTTTGTTCACTTCCTCTCCATACCAGTGGAGCTCTGAGTCCACTGAGAAGCTGGCTGGTGCACAGTACACTGGAGGGAGAAAACCCAAGATTTGGCCCTGTCACTTGCTAGCTAGGTGACCACGGGCAAGTCCCTTCCCTTCTCAGACCTAGTTGAGTCATCCACACAACGGGGCTCAGAAGACCTGCTCTGAGTCCGAGAGAGGTGCTGGTTCACTCACTGAACTACTAAGCCAGGCCCCGTGATAAGCGCTGGGATTACAGAGAGGCAAGGGACACGATTCTCACTCTCAATGAGATAAAATCACAGACATGAAGCTACGGTCCAAGTAAAAAGGGGCATTATTGTCCCACAGTAGCTATCTGGTCAGTTTTGGGGCTGTGGGATACATAGAACAGGAAGGATGCTACGTATCAAGACATTTTAGACACTGAGAGCTGCATATGACACGGCTACAGTCTTGATGCAGGGAGGGGAGATGAGACCTTGACCCAAAGAGAGGGGAGACTCCAGACTGCTCCAACCCTGTAGGAGCAGACAATGGACATGCCTGCCCTGCTCCTGTCCAGAAAGCCATGGGCTCCCAAGGACAGCAGGGGTGGCTGTGACCCAGTGGGAGCCACAGGGCTGGGCAATGGGTCCCTTGACCCGTTCAATTCCTCCAAATGATCTCCACTGTTGGAACTTCTGGGACTTCCCACTGGCTAAGCCAAGGAGATGAGGTGAAGCTGGGCCACCCTTTCTTCCTCCCACTGCAGAAACCAGTCCTGACCCCTGGGCCCGACGGCACAACTGGAAAAGTGCTGGCACCCCCAGAGTCGTAGCCTCCTGGGGACTCAGAGCCACTCTGGAAACTCGCACTAGGCCTGAATCACCCACAGCCAGAGCTTCCTTCCTTTCCTCTCTCTCTCCGAACTGAAAAATAAAAATAAAAGTAGAGGGACGCCTGGGTAGCTTGATCTGTTAAGTGACTACTCTTGTTTTCAGCTCAGGTAATGATGGCAGGGCTTGTGGGGTCAAGCCCTGCATTGGGCACCATGCTCAGCTGGGAGTCCGAGAGTCTCTTTCCCTCTCCCTCTACCCCCCCACTTTCTCAAAAAAATAATAAAGAGTAAATAAAAATAAATAAAAGAATTCTTTAAAAAAATAAAAAAATAATAAATAAAAATAAAAGTAAAAAGAGGAAACTATAACCACCCTTAATCCTATCATCTAGGGACAACTATTCTGGTGAAAAAGCAAATCCTTTCTTTGCACAATGGCTAAGAGGTCCGTCATTTATCTCCTGCTATCTGCCATGCACATTGGGAATTATAGGCATCTCTCAATTAACCCTCCCACAACCATCCTGGGATACAGGTTCTTTAATTATTCCCATTTCATACCAGGAAGAGGCTGAGATCAGGGAGGAGAAATGACTTACCCCCAGCAGGAGACTGGGAATGGGGAAGCCAAGCCCAGAACCCGGGTCTGTGTTGATACTGAGGGAAGCCCCCACCTGCAGCCCAAGATCCCACCAGCACTACCTGAGTGACAGCCACAGTACCTGTCTGGGCTGAGGTTCTGGCCCGTGTCAAAAGCCCGAGCCACCAGGATCATGGACTGTCTGTCGCCAGCTTCAGCCGCCTTCAGTAAGTATTCGAATCCTTTGGTTTTATTCTCTTCTGTATCCTGTTAATACAAACCAAAGAGGGGAAGAGAGACAGAGATAAGGCAAGGAAGAATGGGAGCTTAGCCCACTCTTTTATTTTTTTTTTTTAAGATTTTATTTAGTTATTTATTTGACAGAGATCCCAAGTAGGCAGAGAGGCAGGCAGAGAGAGAGAGAGAGGAGGAAGCAGGCTCCCCGCTGAGCAGAGAGCCCGATGCGGGGCTCGATCCCAGGACCCTGGGATCATGACCTGAGCCAAAGGCAGAGGCTTTAACCCACTGAGCCACCAAGGCACCCCTTTTATTTTATTTTAGAGAAATAAAACTGAGTGGGGAACGTGATGCGGAACTCGATCTCATGAGATCATGACCTGAGCTGAAGGCAAACGTTTAACCGACTGAGCCACCCAGGCACCCCTGCTTGGCCCACTCTCCTCTAGAGAACCACATGTTCTCCTCTCTCCAGTAGGGCTCCCTGCTTCCATTATATAAAAAGTTTTTATTTTTATGTATATGTATTTATTTTTAAAGATTTTATTTATTTATTTTAGAGAGAGGCAGTGAGAGAGAGCATGAGAGGGCAGAAAGTCAGAGAGAGAAGCAGACTTCCCGTGGAGCTGCGAGCCCAATGCAGGACTCGATCCGGGGACCCTGGGACCATGACCTGAGCTGAAGGCAGTTGCCGAACCAACTGAGCCACCTAGGTGCCCTATGTATTTATTTTTTAACTTTAAAAGTTTTTAACAGCTTTATGGAGATATAATTCGCATACTGTACAATTCATCCATTTAAACCCACAATTCAGTGGGTTTTAGAATATTCACAGAATGTGCAACTATCACCATTATCAATTTCAGAATATTTTCACCAGCCCAAGAAGAAACCAAAACAAAACACCTCCACCGTCACCTCTCAAATGCCCCATCTCACCCAGGCCTAAGTAACCGCTAGCACACTTTCTGTCTCTAGAAACTTCTCTATTCTGGATACTTTGTATAAACGCAATCACGCATTACCTGGTCTACTGTGACTCGCTTCTTTAATTTAGCATAAAGCTTTTAATGTATCAGGGCTTTGTTCTTTTTACGGCCAAATGTTAATAGTCCACTGTATGGATATTCCACATTTTATTCATCAGTTGGTGGGTGTAGAACACGGCTATGAACATCTGTTACAAGTTTTCACGCGGATGTGTGTTTTTAATTCTTTCGGGAAGATACTTTGGAGGGGAACTGCTGGGTCACATGTAACTCTAAACCTAGACTTTGGAGGCTCTGCCCAACTGCCTCCCAGTGTGGCTGCCCCATGTTACAGTCCCACCAACACTGCCCATTCCCACCTGCTTCCATGCTGCTCCCCCACAATGCTTTATTTGTTTTTTTAAGATTTTTTTTTTTTTTTAGATTTTATTTATTTGACAGAGGTCACAAGTAGGCAGAGAGACAGGCAGAGAGAGAAGAGGAAGCAGGCTCCCTGCTGAGCAGAGAGCCTGAAGTAGGGCTCGATTCCAGGACCCTGGGATCAAGAGACCTGAGCTGAAAGCAGAGGCTTTAACCCACTGAGCCACCCAGGCGCCCCTCCCCCAAGATGCTTTTAAAGGCCAAGTCAAGGTCACAGTACTGTTCAAAAACTGCTCTGTGGCTTCTCACCTCACTCAGAGACAAATCCCAAACCCTCGTTATCAGCTCACGAGGCCCTTCTCAACCTTGTGGCTTCAAGAAGACCACCCACTGTCCCCATATCCAGCCTCCTCCACCATACTTTCGCCAGCACATGGCTGACCAGCTAAAGGCTACATTTCTTTTTTTTTTTTTTTAAAGATTTTATTTATTTATTTGACAGACAGAGATCTCAAGCAGGCAGAGAGGCAGAGAGAGAGGAGGAAGCAGACTCCCTGCTGAGCAGAGAGCCCGATGCGGGACTCGATCCCAGGACCCTGAGATCATGACCTGAGCCGAAGGCAAAGGCTCAACCCTCTGAGCCACCCAGGCGCCCCTAAAGGCTACATTTCTTTGCCTCCCCTGTAGCCAGAACCTGTGTCCTAACATGAGAGGTCTACCCAGCAGCCACTCTGTCACATTCTCTGTCCTATTTTTTCCCCCCGTGTATTAGAACAATGCTCAGCACCGGAAGTGCTCAATAAAGGCTAGTTATTTTTAATTCTTTGGAAAGATTTTATTTGTTAACTATGGTTTGTACTACATCCTTCCCCACCTGAAAAGTTTGCTCCATGAGAGCGGGAACCTAGGACAATGCCAAGCATAGGAGACTCAAAAAGCAAGTATGGAATAAATGAATGCCTCAGCAAGAAAACAACAATAAAAAGGTTCCAAAGAAGGGGGCACTGGATAAAGTGGGTGATGGGCTTTTGAGAACACACAGCAGCTTCTCAGGGCTCATGCCCGTCGTTTTACTTGCTAAGCCATAAGCCTGCTGGGACACAGTTCACTTCCTGCCTGCCTTCCCAGTCCTAACCACAAAGCTCTGTCCAACCCCACTTCTGCTAGGGGAAGCTGCCAGCATCCGCCCACCAGAGACAGGCCGTCGGGATGCCTACCGACGGGGAAACTGCAATGGCTTCTCAATCCTCCTATACGGTTGCCAGCGTGTGGTGTGTTTCAATAGCCTGAGGTCACGGGAGACGTCCCCCAATCCTAGCTGCTCAACACTCATTCTGGGCTTTGAGATCACTTTATTTGGGCCTCAGATCTTTCTGAGTGTCTGCTCTGTGCCAGCTTGGAGACAGACGCTGGGGATACAGGCCAAAGGCAGCTGTATCTTAGAACCAGCTCTGTGCTCTCATGACAGCCGACTGGAATTATCAGGAACTCTCTTCCTTGAAAAATTTTATTTATGTACTTATTTATTTTAGAAAGGGAGAGCTGGGGATGGGCAGCGGGAGAAGGAGGGAATCTTAAGCAGGCTCCACACCTAGTACAGAGCCAACAGTGGGGCTCCATCCCCCAAGCCTGAGATTGTGACCTGAGCTGAAATCAACGCTTAACCGCTTACTCAGATGCATAACCAACTGAGCCACCCAGGCACAGCTTAAAGATTTTATTTCAAAGTAATCTCTACACCCAACATGGGGCTCAAACTCACAACCCCGAGATCAAGTGTCACACACTCCACTGACTGAGCCAGGCGCCCTTCCACAGATCAGAGTCTGATTGGCCTTTTTGATGAAAGGAAACGGATGGAGAAAATATTGGTAATGCAGATAAAACTCAAAAGCATGTCACATCTGTAATCATGACATGGGGGCTATTTAAAATAGTATTTAAATGATTGTTTTATTTAAACTGTTAGTATTCACACTATCAGTATTTATTTATTTATTTATTTATTTATCCCCCCCCCCCCTTAAGATTTTATTTATTTATTTGTCAGGGACAGAGGGAGAGAGAGCGAGCGAGCACAGGCAGACAGAGAGGCAGGCAGAGGCAGAGGGAGAAGCAGGTTCCCTGCCGAGCAAGGAGCCCGATGTGGGACTCGATCCCCGGACACTGGGATCATGACCTGAGCCGAAGGCAGCCGCTTAACCAACTGAGCCACCCAGGCGTCCCGCACTATTAGTATTTAAAACTATGATCTGATTCAGCAAAGAAGTTGCTCACATCTGACCGTCCTGTCACTTCTGCTCCCCCTGCCTGGCAGACTCCCACTCAGCTTTTAGGTCTAACTCAGAGGTCACCTTCTTCATCTGTTCTGCAAGCGTACACGGAATACGTACCGCGTGTCAGGCTCTGTTCTCACTGTTGGGGACACAGCTAGAAACCTGCTACCAGGAAGCCTCCACTGACCCCGCGACACCCACTCGGGGCCCTTCTCCACCTGCTTCCCCCCAATATTGTCTGCTTCTCCCTTCACACAGGGTCCTAACTGCCTAGAAACTGTCACCTTGCACCTGTTCTCCAGGGGCACAGCCCAATCCCACCAGTTCCAGCTAACCGGCTTTGCCTGGCCCCAAACTGGTGCTCAGGAAGTTTCTGGGGCATGCACAGACCTGCAGGGTGGGGAGGAGGATGACCGAGTGCCCTGCCACCCCCCGCCCAGGGCTGGGTCCCTGCCATCCCCACCTTCAGAGAGACATCAGCCAGGATGTGGTGGGGCAGCTGGCAGCACATGAGCCCCAGACCCACAATGGCCTCCAGCTCGCCCAGGTCGGCTGCATGCTCCAGGTGGAAGATGGCTGAGTCGCGGTCCCACTCCTCGTCCTTCTCGCAGAAGCGCCCGCCCTCATGGTAGCGCGCCATGGCCAGATGCACCTGCCGCACAGACTTGGGTGTTGGCCTGGCTGTCTGGGCAGCTGTACCCCCGGGCTGCCCAGCCAGCCTGCAGGAAGAAGCGATTAGCGGGGCAGAAGCATGGGCTGGGCTCTGGGTCAGTGGCAAGAGGGCTCCGAGACGGGCATCGATGGTACCTTCCCCAGAATGGACTTCCCGATTTTCTTCTCAAGGTCCAGACCATTAAGCCTCTGCACTTCCAGGGCCACGGCGGAAGGCCTCGGCAGGTGGAGGCGGGAGGGGTTAAGGAGATTCCACTTGTCCACGCAGACCTGCAGGAGAGAACAGGGCCGGAGATTTACAGGTCAGGGAGTGAGGGGCGGGGGCACAGGGGCCATCCCCAGCCATCGGCTGCTCCTACCGCACGAGCCTGGCTGGCAAGAGGCAGGGAGCAAACCCTTAAGGTATCAAATTTTCTTGGACAAACACAGCTCCATTTCTAATCCCTCAAATCCTGCCAATTTATGGGCGCTGAGGGAGTATCACAGCACAAAGGCCAGCAGACACACTGCAGCCGTTCAAAGTGTCTCCCCTTCATTTATCAAGCAGGGTTTGGTTGGGGAGGTTGGACCCTAAGCTGCCCAGATGGCCTGTGACCCATACAACACACCAGAAAATTCTGACTTCAGACCCTGCCACAAATCCACTCCGCTAGCCTCTGCGCACTCACACGATGCTCTGGGGAATGGGTTTGGAAACACATCATGCTCCCAGCTAGACACTCTCTTCCGAAGCTCTGCTACTCAGGTTATCCAGGCCATAAATACCGTGCGGTGTAAGTGATCTGTGTAGAGACACTTGCTGGCTAACCCAGGGAAAGCTGCTTAAGATCTCAGTTTTCTCACATGTAAAACGGGGATGAATTAACATCAGCCTGTCTCTCTGGGTGGTTGCAAGAAGTAAATTAACTAATGCTATGACGTCACATGGGCATAACTTTGACGTAGTGAGCTGTGGTCCTTATAAACCACCCTCCAGGACGGGCTGGTCTACTCTTCTCTATTCCTCTCCACAGATGCCCCGGTGGCCCGCCCAGGTCAGGGGATCAAAAAGTGTATGGCAAGGCGACTGGCTTCTTTGCAAAATCTTCCTTCAGCTGGTGTGTGAGGCGCCTGGGCAGGCAGGAGTGACAGGAGAGGGGAGAAAGAGGCTGGAAAAGGCAAGCACGCAGCCATGACAAGGACGCCTTGGGGCGCATTACCCGTCCGGAGCTGCCCAGGCTGTCTTCGTCTGACTCGTACCTCCGGTTACCGTTTGAGTGGCCCTGAGGGAGGAGGAGGGAGAGTGAGCCACGGAGCAGCTCTCCCTCCCAGGAACCGGCCCCCACCCCACCTCCAGGGGAAACCTCGTAGGGGACAGCCCTCCCCCTCATGCCCAGGGGACCCTCCTCCCAGGAACCTTCCTCCTAAGGGAAAGGACTGTCCCCTAGGGAGGGCAGCTGGAACTCATGTGCGCCAAGCAGAGAGGATGCTGGGTAACAAGCAGGACCCATGTGCCTGCGTGCCCACAGCCTTGCCCTCACCCTGTGTGCACAGATGGAAATAACTCAGCGGCACAGGATCGTGGCAGACGAGCACGAAGACAACCTTCTTCCTCTTACCCAAGTTCCCCTGACAGTCTCATTTGCAGTAAGAAAACTGAGACCAAAGGGTTCTGGGCAAGACTAGTGTGAAGGCTTAGGTTCCATTCTGGCACAAGGCAAAACCTCTACATGGAAGACACTGCCGTAGTCACCCCTCCCCAGGATGCTGCGGGGTGGCCCTGGGAACCTGTCCTCCGCCAGAGAGACAGAGGAATACGGTGTGGGAAGCTGGGAAGCCTACTCAGCACCATCCCAACCCAGCAACCAGAGGTTCCAGCTCTGCCGTAAGAGCAGTCCAACATTTTCAACCCTAATTCCCCTTACTTGTCCCCTTACTAAACTTTCTGGTCCACATGACCCTGTTTTATCTTCTGCCCTGCATTTATCTGGTTCTGAAATGATTTCGTGTATCCATTTATGTTCTCAAGACCACTCACATCCCCCCACCCTCTTCCATCCTCCTGGACAATGAGGCAATACAATGCTCTGGTCTCATTTCCTTGGAGGTTCCTTACATGTTCGCGGGGCTCTGGATCATCCAGTTCACACCGCTTCTCACTGGGGTAGCCACTGTCTCCACTGTTTTCAGAGTCCTACGGAGAGAAGATGATTCTAGGGTCTCAGTGGTCCTCGGAGTGGTGGTGACTTCTGGACATCCCAGCCATTTGCTCTTTCTCCTTTGTCCTATCACCTCAGTTAACACCCTCTTCCTTCTGCCCTTGCTGGTTGGGTGACAAGGGAGCAGCACAAAGTAGCGGCAGAGAGCTTGGGATTGGGGCCAGACTGTCTGAGCTCAAGTCTGAGCTTTGTGACCCACCAGCTTGGCACGGGGCAGCGGTTTCCTTAGCCATGGGATTCATACGGCACATACATTGAAGGATGGGGATGAAGTGAGGGGCCACCCACTGAGTATGTGTCACAGCAAGTGCTAACAGCAGCTCACCCATTTCACAGGCAGAAAAACAAAGGCTGGAGGATGCGAGAGGACCCACGGACACAAATGTAGCACTGAGAACAATATTTACTAGAGTGAAGTCCTCTACCCAAACCGGGACATGTTTTTTATTCTTCTAGATAGTTCAGAATCTATAAAACTTCAGTCATTTGTCTACCGACATCCCATTCCGGCCATATCCGCACGTCGCCTGGATCCCTCTCCCACTCATACTTTCAAGTCTCCTTCTTTGTTCTACTAAGAAGTATTTAAAACACGCCACTAAGAACAGAGAATACTAAAATGAGCTCCTGTGCACCCATCGCCTGGCTTTGTCAGTTCCTAACATGAGGCCTTAGTTACTTCAGATCTTTTATTTTTTTTTATTTTTTGGTTAAGATTTATTTATTTGACAGAGAGAGACACAGCGAGAAAGGGAACACAAGCAGGGGCAGAGGGAGAAGCAGGCTTCCCGCTGAGCAGGGAGCCCAATGCCGGGCTTGATCCCAGGATACTAGGATCATGACCTGAGCTGAAGGCAGACGCTTAATGAATGAGCCATGCAGGTGCCTTGGATCTTTTATTTTTAAATGAAATTAAAACATTACTGCTGGGGTGCCTAGGTGGCTCAGTGGGTTAAGCCTCTGCCTTCGGCTCAGGTCATGATCTCGGAGTCCTGGAATCGAGCCCTACATCGGGCTCTTTGCTCAGCGGGGATCCTGCTTCCCCCTCTCTCTCTGCCTGCCTCTCTGCCTACTTGTGATCTCTCTCGCTCTCTGTTAAATAAATAAATAAAATATTTTAAAAAGAAAAAACATTACTGCTAAAATCTAGACCTCTTGTGAGTCCCTCCCTACCCCATCCCCTTCCTGCTCCAGGTAAAACCACTTTGGTGAATTCATACTTACTATGTGTCTATAGATAAGCCATTTTCTTTTCCTTAAATAAATACATATTTAAAAGAAGTTTGGTGTCTCCGGCATAAACGGGTCCCTCTCCTCAGCCTCTGCAGAGGTCTGGCCAGGAATCCCGCCACCCGGAGGAGCTGCATATCCTGACGAGGCCCTGCCCTTGTTTCTAGAAGCACGGACTTCTCCTCTACCTCCCCTCAAGGCTTTTGTTCTGTGTGAACTAAAAGGCTACTCTGGTTTCTTTTTTAAAAGGTATCTCAATTTTTAAAACTGAGATATAATTTACAGCCATGTGACAGAAGTGTTGGGTGTGCTAAGTGAAAGGCTGCTTTAGAAAACGGAGTGCAGGCCGTACCCAGGGGCTCCGGGGAGCTGGCTCCTCACGACCTAGGGCCCCTCTTCCCACCCTCTGGACTCAGTCCCTCCCTGAGCAACAGAGAGCTCACAGCTGGGTTCTGGGACCCCGGGCAAGGCAGCCAGCCTTCCCAAACCTGTTTCCTCATCTGAGAGATGGGGGGGATACTACCCACTCCAAGACGGAGAAAAGCAGCACAGGACAGCAGCAGTACAGAGGGTGGGTTCGAGGCCAGAGGCCTGGATTTGAACCGTGGTTCATTCCATCACTGAGTGACTGGGACCAAGTAGCTGAACCTTCCTGCGCCTCAGGGTCCTCATCTCTAAATCAGGGATCACGACAGAATTGCCCAGGTAGCTGCTGAGATCAGGGACAAGAAGCGGGGGGCGGGGCGCCTGGGTGGCTCAGTGGGTTAAAGCCTCTGCCTTCGGCTCAGGTTGTGATCCCAGGGTCCTAGGATTGAGCTCCACACTGGGCTCCCTGCTGAGCAGGGAGAGCCTTTAAAAAAAAAAAAAAGTGGGTGCCTAAGGGACAGATGGGAGACAGGCTTTTCACCTTACTAATCTTTTTTACCTTTTCAACCATGAGAATGAATGAGTTATTCTGAAATTCTAAAATTTATTCTAAGTCTAGAATGAAATCTACTACAAAAGAAACAAAAAGGGGTGACTGGGTGCTCAGTTGGTTAAGCGTCTGCCTCTGGCTCAGGTCATGATCCCAGAGTCCAAAAATTAAAAAAAAAAGGGAAATAAAAAATGGTTCTACCTCTACCTCATGGGTTGCTGGGGCTTAAAGGAGATTATCTATCAAGCCCTTAGAACAGTGTCTGCCCTTGGGGCACCTGGGTGGCTCAGTGGGTTAAGCCTCTGCCTTCAGCTCAGGTCATGATCCCAGAGTCCTGGGATCGAGCCCCACATCGGGCTCTCTGCTCAGCGGGGAGCCTGCTTCTTCCTCTCTCTCTGCCTGCCTCTCTGCCTACTTGTGATCTCTGTCTGTCAAATAAATAAATAAAATCTTAAAAAAAAAAAAAAAAAAAAAAAAGAACAGTGTCTGCCCATAGTGATGATTCCATAATGTTGGCTACTCTTACTATTTTCTTCCCTCAAAAACTCTGAAAAGCAGTCAAGAGTGAACCTGAACCTTTGGAGCAATCCCAGAGCGGAGCTTAAAGGGCACCTGAGGTCTGTGCAAGGGTGACATCTCTGCAAAGTCTATTTTTAAAATTCCTATGAGTTTCTGACATCATAACATAGGTTCACATGAATGCAAATGGGATGCCTTCAGCTTCCTACCTCGGATGAGCCCAAGGCTGCTGGAAACCTGTCCTGTTTATCCAGCCTGAGAGCATCAAATCAGACTGTGCTGTAAGTTACTCGTCTGAAATGCAGGACTGTTCCCTCTCCCAGGACAGGTGTCCACACGCGCGTGGCCAGACCAGCCCAGGGCTGAGTTCACTCGCCATTTACCAGAAGGTTGCACTGTTGCTAACTGGGATTCCCTTTTCTCTAACCATCTCCGAAAACTGTGATGGAGCCAGCTTTTCTCAGAGGACACGGCTGCCCTGGCCAGGAGGCTGAGAGTAATCTGCATTCCTCTATGCCCACAGGCAGTGTCTGGGGCCAACCTAGGCTGACCACCTCTGGATCTGAGGATTAAGCCTTGGTTCTGACTGGCAGGAAGTCCATTCCTCCCAGCCCTGCTCCCTTGGGCCTTCTCCAACCTACCCGGTAGTTGTCCAGATGGTCGTGGTCTCGGGGTGCCATGTTGTCAAGGTCACTGAACACAGGCCAATCTGGGCAAGAGAAAACAGATCATACAAGGGCTCTACCAGCAGAACTGCTTAAAAGACCAACTACAGCCTAGAACAGAAAGCACCTGCCACTAGGCCTTTTTTCATTTTAAATTTTGTAAGAAGGTACAAAAATGGGAAAAGAATGTTGGCAGCACCTGGAGGCTACAGTTCTTCTTCAAGAACTTATTCAGAGTTGGGGTGCCTGGATGGCTCAGTCCGTTAAGCGAGTGATTTGGGTTTCAAATCAGGTCGCGATCTCAGGGTCATGAGATCATGCCCCTCATCGGGCTCCACGTTTAGCACAGTCTACTTGGGACTCTCCCTCTGCCCCTCCCCCCTGCTCTCTCAACAAAAGAAGGAACTTACTCAGAGTCTGCCACTTGCTAGCTGTGGGGTCCTGAGCAGGTAGCTTAACCTCTGTGCCTCCTCAAAGTTGTAATGCAAATACAGTTGTGCAATGTGCTTAGGGCACATTAACCTGGGCCATGGAGGGCCTCTGAGGAGCAGGTGTGGAAGTACAACAGCCATGTGTGTATTGGGAGCCCCAGGAGTAGCTACAGGTCGGGGAAGCCTCATAAGGCTGAAAAACCAACCACATCCTTCCCGGTCATTCCCAGTTTCTCTCTCCCACCTTGAGCTTCCACAGCCATATCCAGCTTGCTTCCTTTTTTTAATGTGGTTTTTAAGAATGGTTTTTCTATTTTAAAGTGGCTGAAAAGATTTAAAAGAATAGAACCTTAAGATATGTGAAAATTACACGAAAGAAAATTCAGTGTCTTCACTGGAACAAGGCCATACCTAGTCATTTGAGTACCATGGCCACGTTCACTCCTAATGTAAAAACCATTATGTCCCACAAAGTCCAGAAGATTGACTCTCTGGCCTTCTAAGAAGTCTGTCAACTCCTGCCTCAAAATGGGGCACCTGGATGGCTCAGTGGGTTAAGCCTCTGCCTTCAGCTCAGGTCATGATCTCAGGGTCCTGGGATCGAGCCCCACATCAGGCTCTCTGCTCAGCAGGGAGCCTGCTGCTTCCCTCTCTGCCTGCCTCTGCCTGCTTGTGATCTGTCAAATAAATAAGTAAAATCTTCAAACACACACACACACACACAAAACTCCTGCCTCAAGCTATACTAAGGTCTTCTAGTGGAAATGTCTAAAAGGCTTCTTTGACATTTGACACTAAAATCTCCCTCTTCTGCTCCTCTGTGACCTCCCCCAACTGCATAAATGGCCACAGCACCCTTGATGTTCTTCAGATCAAAACCCTGGAGTCAGCCTTGCCTCCCCTCTTTCCTGCAGATCCTACATCCACATTGTCAGCAACCACTGTCACTTCAACTTCGGGAACAAGGATTCCATTTTCCTCCTCTGACCTATTCATATGATGTTCACCAATTTCTTAATATTGGAAATTTGCAGATGCCTACAAAATCCCTATTGATTATGACAGTATTCTTTTAGGATACTACTGGTCTTTGTCATACCTTATTTAGAACTTCTGTACTGTGTATTTATTTATAAGTGAGGTTGGTATGTAGGTTTTTGGGTTGGTTTTTTTTTTTGCTGTTTTGTTAAATTTTGGTATAAAGGTTTTGCTAGGTTCATAAAAGACACTGAAAAATGTTACCTTGTTTTCTTTTTTTTTCTTTCTTTTTTTTTTTTAAAGATTTTATTTTATTTATTTGACAGAGAGAGATCACAGTAGACAGAGGCAGGCAGAGAGAGAGAGAGAGAGAGGGAAGCAGGCTCCCCACTGAGCAGAGAGCCCAATGTGGGACTCGAGCCCAGGATCCTGAGATCATGACCTGAGCCGAAGGCAGCGGCTTAACCCACTGAGCCACCCGGGGTCCCTGTTACCTTGTTTTCTAAAATCAAGGTTGTTTCTATACCATCTGGATGACTTGTGTCTTGAAAATGTATTCAGTGAACTCACTCATAAAACCATGTAGGCCAGGACCCTTTTTAGTTAGCATATCTGATTTCCTAACATAAGCGAAAGCCAGTTTAGCAGTGTCCTTTCTGGTGCCTGTCCCCTCCAAGCACGATGGCCAGGGATCAAAGTATCACTTACGGAGGTGGTCCAGTTTCTGGCTGTGTGGTGTGGCCGAAGACGGGGAAGAAGGGAGAGAGTCAAAGGTCACGTCGCTCATGTTCTCATCTCCAGAGTTCTCTGAAAGGCGAAGGAGCAGTGGGGGGCGACTCCCAGAGAGGGTCCTTACTCGGGGGCTCCCACACTTTTCCTCTGTCCCCCTCAAGATGGTCTTGGCCGATTGCTGGAGAATTAACAGGGACACCCATGTCACACAGGAGTCCTTCGGCGAGTGAAGGGCTCTTCCAGTTGTGTGTTGTCTGCTTGAACCCTAAGGCCCTTTTAGTCAATAGCTCCCATACATACCTGTTTAGGGACTGGCAGGAAATCTAAAACAATCAATGGGGGGTTAAACCAAAGGGCTCTAAAAAGGGGCATCTGGTACAGGAGTGCAAAGCCAGCCAGCATTCCCACGGTGCTGACCATACTCCACAGCCCTGAGCTGGGGAACACGTGCCACCATATATCCAGAATCCCAAGCTGGTCTTTGATGACAGTCGCTCATATCTGATCAAGGTAATGGCAGAAGGGGTGGGTACATTCTGGACCCAGCAAGGTGCCCAAAGATCCAGGTCCAAGTCTAGTCCAGCCATCTGTCAACATGCCACACAAATACACATACCACACACCTTTCTCACTCTTTCTACATACTTGTTCTCCTCACTCTGGTCAGAAGAGGTCCAATCATGTAGACCCCAGTTACTGTGTTAGTGGGGACACTTGGAAGGGCTTTGTGCACTGATCTAGGAGGATGAGGGGCACAGATGAGGCTGAGATCCTTCTGGCCCTGAAACTCTTCAAGTAAGCATCACCAGGCCTGGGCTGCCAACACGGAGAAGCAGGGCTTACTGGCCTGGCAGTGGAAGGGCCCGGTCCCTCCGAGCAGGTTCCCATGGGGCACCCACCAGCAGCTTGGTGTTCTGGTTCACGGCGTCCCTCTCTCTTGGCGAGAGGTCAAAGGGAGCGAGGCCCATGCTCTTGCAAATCCGGTTGCAGGCATGAGAGTAGAAGAAGAGCGCCATCCCCCGGACACCTACAGACAGAGCAAGGAAGTCTGGAGCACTGCCTTGCTGTGTGACAGGGGAAGGGCAGCACCAGGCACCTTAAATGTGACAAGGGCAGGCGTCGAACACGCTGAAGTGGCGGGTGGGAGGTGTCCCAAGCTTCCATCCCCACCATTGTGGAAAAGCCAAGGCCCAGTCTCCCTGGGCCTATGAAGGGCTGGGAGATTTATAGGGGGCAGAGGGAGTGTGATCTCCATGGAAACAAGCCGGCTTTCCCCACCTACCTAGGTTGCCATCTCCAAAGTCAGTGCCCTTCTCGGTGTGGATCTGCGGGTCTGTGTAGAGGTCGCCCACACCCTGGATGTCTACCACAATCAGCTGATGCCCAGAACGCTCAAATGTGAAGTGGCTGAAGGCCTGGGAGAGGGGGCAGCGGTGGGGAACAGAAGAGCAAAGTGACTGACTGCAACAGACCAGGATGTGGTCTGCATGGACACAGGTCAGCCACCGTTCCATGAGGCTTGAGGACCCTCTGGGGCTGAGACCGCACACCCACAGGGACCCTCCCCTCCAGGGGCCTCACCTGTGGTGTCAGGCGCATGTTGTCATCGCGGACGAAGCCCGAGTTGGAGTTGTACTTGATGTACTTGCCCTCGATATAGTGCTCCAGGTGGAAGAGAGGCTTGCCGGGTCTGTCCCTCAGCTCCACCACGCACATCTGCATGATGTCCACCTGGTGGGAGGGGAGCAGGTCAGGCAGGACCCAGCGGCACTCACCTCTGACAACAGATTGGAGCAGAGGGCTCGGCGGAAGCTAGCCTGCCGGGGCTCCCATCCTGGCTCCCGCAGTTATCAGGTCTTCGCAGCTACGGCTGCCAGCCATCCCCGGAATCCACGTTCCCCTTTCCTTTTGAGAATAAAAACCCCTGTGATGGTCTAAATGCGTCTCCGCAGAATCCCTATGTTGTTGACCTCCAAGCCCTCAATAGTGACGGTATTAGGTGGGGTCTTTGGGAGGAACTACTTCCTGAGGGAGGAGCCCTCATGAATGGGATTGGGGCCCGGATAAGGGCCCACGCAGGGCTCCTTCGCCACTTCTGCCATGTGAGGACACAGCACGGAGACACCAGCGAGGAACCAGAAAGGGACCTCACCAGAACGTGACCATGCCGGCGCCTTGATTTTGGACTTCCCAGCCTCCTAAGCATAATTTCCTGTTGTTTGTAAGCTACCCGGTCCGTGGTATTTTGTTAGAGCAGCCCCGAGGGGCCTAGACAACCCCCATGGAAGTGCTAAGAGGATACGGAGCCATCCAGTAGGAAGGACGCTGCGCGGCTTCCCCGGTGGCTAGGTGTGGCCAAGTGACCAAGCCTGGCCAATGGGAAGCGAGCAGCGCGAGGACGGAACTCCCAACAGCCCCCACCTCCGGCCACCCCAAGGCTGTAGAGCCCACACCTGCCAGTGGGGCCAACCTAGCCACGTGGTCCATGGCCACACCCCAGAGGAAGGCACGGCAGGAAGAGAGAAGGAACTGGGTGCTTCTGGATGACTCAAGACGGCTGGCACCAGCCCACCCTGAACCCCACCCAACCCCTGACCAAAGCAGAACCATCAGATGAGAGAGAAAGAAACCATGTTGTGTTGGTGCACATGTATGGGTCTGTGTGCGAAGTTCTGCCCACATGCCTTACACTAATATCGTGCATGTGGACGAACTGTGCCTCAGTTTCCTCGCCTGTGGGATGAGGATCTCACACTTAGGGTGAGGATGAAACCTCATGATACATGAGTCTGTCAACATGTGCTAATGTGAGTATTACTCGTGGACACGACTCTAGAGCTATATACACCCAACCATAAAGGGTGGTTCTCTCCCTGCTACGGGGAGTTTAGACATTCCTTGCTGAATTTTTTTTTTTTACCAAACACTTGGCATCTGTATGCAGAAGGAAATGTGTTAAGTCCTGTGAGTGGTTTGTAAAGTGGGGTTGGTAAGACCTGAAACCGTACCCACGACACCCTAGCCCCCTCAACGACACCCACAGCGGAAGGACCCAGGTCTGGGTTTCCCCAGGAAGCAACCATCCAAGGAACTGTCTGGCTGGGTCACTAGACAGGCAGATGACAGCTGCAGAGGTCGAAGAGGCCCCAAGCAGAGAACTGCCCCAAACGTGGCCTCAGTTCCAAGAACCAGCCTAAGGGGAAGGAGCAGCTGGTTCTCGGAGGTTCCCACCCCAAATACTGACTCTATTCTTATAAGGAAGTCTATGGTGGGGCCATGTACTGGCCAGGAGGCAGTTAACAAGGGGTGGCCGGCTCCCCCCTCAAACAGCTCTGCTCCTTTCCCTTCCTTAATTCCAACCAACCACATTATTTACTGAGCACCTAGGCACTGTGAGACAAAGTGAACAAGAAATGAATTCCCTGCCCCTGGGGGAGAGACGCAATATTAACTGCAGGGACAAGACTCTTCTGGAGAGTGCCAACTGCTTCAAGCAAAAGGAATTAGAACAGACAGAACAACCTGACAGGACAGCAGTGGAAAGGCTACTTCATTTAGGATGGCCTGGGGAGGCCTTGCTGAGCAGGTGACATATGAGCTGAGACCCGAACTGTGAGAAGGAACTCATCATGCAAGGATGGGGCTAGGGTTGGGGAGGGCAAGAAACGACGACAGTGATGGCACAGCCAGAGCAAAGGTCCTGAGGCAGGAACAAGCTTAGGGAGGAAGAGAAAGGAGGCCAGGATGGCATGTCGCAAATTACTGAGGTGGTCACAGATCCCATGGGTGGGGATTGTGGCTTCTTGGGTCTACCCCAAGGGCACTTAATCAAGAGCCATGCAAACAGGAGGCGCTTAATGAATTCTGCTGATTTCTTGTAAGTGTGGCTCCCCCAAGGGGCCCAGGAGACAGTAGTATGTTATCTCGCAGGTGCTCAAACAGTGGGAAAGCTGAGCTATGAATCTGGGCAGGGCAGAGACACAGAGTACTGTTTCTCAAATGCCCACAGGCAACAGGAAACTCTGCTTTGCCCAGGTTCACTAAACAACCTGGGCGCTCACCTGCAGAAGCCAACTGGGCAGGGGCCTGGAACACCTGGCTTTGAGCGCTGGCTCCTTCCTGCCTGTTGGGGCAGGTCACTTAACCCCTTTGGGCCTGGGGCTCCCCAGGGGCAGACACACTATCCCTTCTCCCCTCCTTCTGCTTTTTCTTGGGAGCCACCCATCTCAGTCTGCATAGTCTGGGGAAAGGACCCACACTGCTGCCTCTAAGGGGGAGCATATGGCTCAGGCCTGCCCAATCTGCATATCCCCTCCCCTGGCTATTGTGACTGGCTCAGCAACAGGCACCTGACCTAATTGGAGCCAATGAAACCTAGTTCTGAGACTTCCACTGGAACTTCTGGGAAAACAGGTATTGTCCTGCCACCAAGGTTTCTGGGAAGACAGGAAGTGAGCCTGCAGCTGCTCATGGCCCACAGAAGAACACCAAGGCTAGAGATGGGGGCGGAGGGTGGAGGAGAGATTCTCAACATCCTGTCTGGTCCTGGATCCAGCCTTACCTGTAGCCAGCACTATCTGTGTTACATGAGGTAATAAATTCTCTTTTCACAAGAAGCCCATTTGAGCAGGTTGCTAACATTTACAAACGCAAGTCCTAACAGATCCCATCCGTAAATGGGATCAAAACATCCTAACTTTAAACAACCTCAGAGTTCTCTGTTTTTAGGAATAAATGACTGCATATAGTGAATCGTGCTCAACAGATGATGGCTGTTACGGGCTTCTGTTAAGACCATAAAGGGAACCATGACTGGCATCATTGTTAACTTTGTCTCCAGTCTCCACCCCTGGCCACCTTGTGTGGGAAGGTAGCAGGGAGGGGTGCCACACACCTGTTTGGGGGGCTTGTGCCGATTATACTCCTCTCCCCAGAGCTTGGCCTCCATCTGTAGACGCACATCCTCAAAGTACACGTCCCTGTCCACAGACTCGATATAGCGCTTGGCTACATAGTTGGAGGCCCCCTTCCACTGCTGAGTGTGCAGGAAGTTGGAGAGCTTCTTCCTGGGAGGGGGGAGACAGCAGAGGGTCTGCCTGGGCACTTGGGTCCACCAGGAACACAGCCTGACCCACTGCATCCTTCAAAGGGCTGGGAAGAGGCTTAAGGGACATTGTTAAAGGTCTCTTAATCCATATCTTGTGGCCTCCAAACATCAGAGTGGAGGATAGTGGGACACTCCATATTCTCCCTGAGCCCCCTCCACAGGGGGCTCCCTTCACAGCAGGGCAAACGTATGGTCCGACGGACACCAGATAGAGAGACACTCAGCCTACAAGGAGAGGCTGCTGTCTCGGTTTCTCGGCCAGAAATGTTGCAAGGCCTCCACTCTTAGGAGCCTGAAGGAGCCTGGGCAGGTGCCCCAAGAGCCAGGCCGAGTCACTTACGTTCTGAAGCACTCCCGCATCGCTCCACGGCCGAAGGGCTGAAAGACACCACACGAGTGTTATTAGGCCCCATGTCCCACCAGAATGAGTCCTGAGTCAGGAAGAGATTCTCCCCTCGGACATCACCCCCCAAATGGGTACCTGGACCTCATCTCAATCCTAAAATTCCCGAGTCCTCCCTCCATTACCCTGGCGCTAAAGCCTGACCAAACTTCTAGCCTGGAGGCTTTGGGGGATGACAAGACCACCTGCTCCCCAACCCTGGCTTAGGGGGAGGGGAAGAACCCCCACGGGGTGAAGATGTTATAGGGTAACCTTTCATGTCAAAGAATGTTTTTGTAGCCCTGCTTTTCTGTTCCCTCGAACAGAAAAAGGGTGGAGGGGAGCCTGGGTGGCTCAGTCAGCTAAGCGTCCAACTCTTGATTTCAGCTCAGGTCATGGTCTCAGGGTTGTGGGATCGAGCCTCATGTCTGGCTCTGCACTCAGTGGAGTCTGCTTGTCCCTCTCCCACTGTCCCTCTCCAATAAATAAAATCTTAATAAAAAGAAAAGAAAAGAGAAAAGAAAGGAAAAGAAAAAAGAAAAGAAAAGGAAAAGAAAAGAAAAGGAGTGGAAACAGCCTACATGTCCATCAAGAGTATAATGGATAAATAATCAGGTCTACTCATTCAGAATAGCATATAGCAACCAGAGCGAGTATACCCTGTTCTTCTATTATTCTGTATTGTTCTATAAATGATGGGTCTAGCAAAAACAAGTATGAACTCATCACAGACAAAATGCTGAGCAGAAGAAGCCATACTCAAAAGCATACATACAGGGCACTTGTGTGGCTTAGTGGGTTAAAACCTCTGCCTTTGGCTCAGGTCATGATCTCGGGGTCCTGGGATCGGGCCCCGCATCAGGCTCTCTGCTCAGCAGGGAGCCTGCTTCCCACCCCCTCTGCCTGCCTCTCTGCCTACTTGCAGATCTGCCTACAGATCTCTGTCTGTCAAATAAAAAAATAAAATCTTAAAAAAAAAAAAAAAAAAAAAGAATACATACGGCACAGCTCCATTTATAGGAAGAACACAACAGGCAAACTACACCAGGATGACAGATCCCGGGTTGGTGCTTACCTTTGGGAGAAGGGAGTAGTGACCAGGGTGGGGGTGGGAGAGGGGCTTCAGGGGGCCACTGGTTACATGGACCATCCACTTTGTGAAACTCATTAAGCCATACCCCTTTCTGAGTATGTGATACATGAAAAAAAAGTTTCACACAACCAACCTCCCTCTGACAATGCAGGAAGTGCTCCATTTTCAAGTCTATTCCTTTTTTTCCCCTCCCAAACAGATGAATCCCTTTTATAAGGCTCAGGTTGGGGTGCCTCAGTGGCTCAGTCAGTTAAGCATCTGCCTTCGGCTCAGGTCATGATCCCAGGGTCCTGGGATCGAGCCCCGCATTGGGCTCTCTGCTCAGCGGGGAGCCTGCTTCTCTTCCTCTCTCTCTCTGCCTGCCTCTCTGCCTACTTGTGATCTCTCTGTTTCAAATAAATAAATAAAATCTTTAAAAAAATAAAAATAAAAAGCCCAGTATAGGTAAACTTACAGAGACAGGGGTAGATTAGCAGTTGTCTAGGGCTGGGGGAGACGAGGGGATTGGAGGCTGGCTGCTGGTGGGTAAGTATAGGGTTTCTTAAGGAGATGATGAAACGTCCTGGAATTGGTCGTGGTGATGGAGGCACATCTCTGTGACTACGCCAACCCACCGAACCCGTATACTTTAAATGGCTATGTTGTATAGTGTGTGAATTATATCTCAATAAAACAGTTATAAAAATAAAATAAATACACAGTAATAGAAAGAATGCCCCAAAGTTAGTCACGTGAGTGTGAAAGGGAGGGGACAGGGACAAAAGTCTGCTCAAGAGGAATCCGCACTCAGCCCTGCCCACGCGGGGCTGGGGAAGGCTCACCTGAGACGCCATCTTGATCAGAACCTCATCTTGTAACCACTCCCCAGTGACAGCATTGTACCTGCAGAGAGAAGCCAGCCCAGGGTACAGCGTCTATACCATGGTCCTCTCACCCACTGGCTAAACGTGAAAGACTTGGGGCACCTGGGTGACTCAGTGGGTTAAGCCGCTGCCTTCGGCTCAGGTCATGATCTCAGGGTCCTGGGATCGAGCCCCGCATCGGGCTCTCTGCTCAGCGGGGAGCCTGCTTCCCCCCACCACCCCGTCTGCCTCTCTGCCTTCTTGTGATCTCTTTGTCAAATAAATAAATAAATAAAATCTTAAAAAAAAAAAAAATGAAATAAAAGTGAAAGACTTTTCTGGCTTCTCGCTGCCCTTGGGATTGAGACCACTCTATCTGTAGACCCAGCCAACCTCCCGGGGTGGGTCTGTGGACACTCTCCCTCCCCTCCCAGGCCCCCTGCACTGGCCTTTCCTCTCCAATGTGTTGCCCAACACATGTGTGGGTTTGCTCCCCTATCTGGCCCCCGCCTTGGACTCTAACTCCACAAAACCAGGCCCGTGTCTGTCTTCTTCATTGCAGGGCCCGGTGCCTGTGGAAGGTTAATACATCCAAGTTGGATGAACAACTGAATAGATAAATATCCTTATTTTAACCAGTCTACACAAAAAACGGCATGTCCCAGGACAGAGGCGGCAGTGCCCGCTATCTTGTCGGGCACCTGTGTGAGGCCCAGGACGGGTAGCTGGGCTTGTGTCCTAGTGCAGGAACAGGTAGGGGAGGTCCTGCCTCTGAGTCCAGCTGAGGAAGGGGCTGCTGGAGGATACCCAAGGCAGAACAAGACAGAGAAGGTTCCAGAACATTACCATCTCTTCTTTCTCAGGAATCTCCGCAGAGTAAATCTGGTTCTAGGCCTGGCTGAGCCTCAAACAGATTTGCCTGGCAGAGAGAGCGCCTCAGCTCAGTAAATCCCTAAATTCTAAAACCTCCCCAAGGGCTGAGGTGTTCTTAGCTAGCAGAGGCCTCCCTGGCCCACCCCTCAGCGGGATGGACTCCAGACCACTCCCAGCTCCGTGAGAACAGGCTTCGCAGAGCCTGGAACCTCTACAGGGAAAGACAAGCAGAGGCCTGGCAGGTAACCTCTCCCAGGACAGGCTCAGGGATGGTGGCCAGAGCCCTAAGTTGCCTCCAATCAACCCATGTCCTGTGTTCAATAAATAATAGCAATGATTATTATTATTATTACTACACAGAGATGAAGGTTAAGGGAAAAGTCTACCCTCACTTCCAAACAAGACTGAAGGCTGCGAGACACCCAGAAGCTGAGGGACGAGGAAGATATGGGATGTCATATGGATCTTAATTGTCCTTCAGAACCACTGACCTCATACAGGTCAGAGTTGCTCCAAGTTCACTGAGCAGGGCATTTAAACAGATCTCTTCAATTAACCTTTGCAGCAGCTCTGTTAGATTGGCACAATTACGGCACCCGCTTTCCAGGCGGGGAAACTGCGGCTCAGAGAGGTGAGTTACTTGCCCGAGGGCCCAGGATGCAGACCCTGGTCAGTTGCAACCACAGCCTTGCCCCTAGCCAGCCTGTGTACCATCCATGTGAACAGGAAATCTGTCTCAACAAAGGGGCAGCCAGCACCACCAGAAACCGACAAGGAAGTGTTCCAGTTTAGAAATTTTCTGGAGGGGCGCCTGGGTGGCTCAGTGGGTTAAGCCGCTGCCTTCGGCTCAGGTCATGATCTCAGGGTCCTGGGATCGAGCCCCGCATCGGGCTCTCTGCTCAGCGGGGAGCCTGCTTCCTCCTCTCTGCCTGCCTCTCTGCCTGCTTGTGATCTCTCTCTGTCAAATAAATAAATAAAATCTTTAAAAAAAAAAAAAAAACCCTTAAAAAAAAAAAAAACCTTTAAAAAAAAAGAAATTTTCTGGAGATTCTAGCCATCGAAGCCTGAGCTCCCTCTGCCAGCAGCTGTTTCAGCTGGAAAACAGTCTGGCTTGGTCCCTGCACCCACAGAGCTCCAGGACACACAGAGCCGGCTCAGCATTGGGGATCTGCTTTTCCAGGGGACTCCCTGGGTTGCCTAGTGACCAACCAGTCACCATGCTGGCCTTACAGTTGGGGAGGGACAGAGTCCACACCCTGCCCTACTGGGGCCTCCACAATGCTGACCTTGGCTGCCACCACAGTCCCCAGGGCCTGCTAGGAGGTGGGTTTCCGGTGGTGGGGAGTGGGTGCATGCCAGGCTCTCAGCCATCTCCTCACAGGCAGGAGCAGGGACATGTCGTAGAAAGATTTAGAAATTTACACTGTTTCGGCCTGCCTGGCATCTGATCCCTCTCCTTTCAGTCCCAATTTCCGTTAGGGAACCACCATCCTCCATTCTCAGAATATGCGGACTGGGCAGAACTGATCCCTAGCACCTTCTGGCTTGCAGTATAAGATCCAGACATCACCAATGAGAACAAAGCTCCCTGGCACATGACTGGATCAGAGAGGGGCATATAACCGAAGCCAGACCAATGACATTCCATTATGGAACTTCTGTTTAAAACTACTGGAGAGGGACGCCTGGGTGGCTCAGTTGGTTAAGCGGCTGCCTTCGGCTCAGGTCATGATCCCAGCGTCCTGGGATCGAGTCCCACATCGGGCTCCTTGCTTGGCGGGGAGCCTGCTTCTCCCTCTGCCTCTGCCTGCCTCTCTGTCTGCCTGTGCTTGCTCACTCTCTCTCCCTCTGTCTCTGGCAAATAAATAAATAAAATCTTTAAAAAAAAAAAAAAAAAAACTACTGGAGAAAGAAAAGATCCTCTTCTATTGGGTGAAATGAAATGTGGGGGCTCTTGGGGGTATCTGTGCCACTGATACAAGACAGTCTATCTGAGGTCAAAGCCCAAAGTGTCCTCGAGAATCTGGAACCAGCCATACCCGAAGTCCACATGCGTGAGCCAAACATTCCCTTCTATGCTGAACACTGTGAACTAGGTTTCTGTCACCTGCATTTGAAACAGAGTTCTAACGGAAAGACCCTGAGCTGAGTCAGAAGGTTAACTTATTAACTACCCAGATAACCCTGGGAAAACCTCTATCTCCCTGGAGCAATTATGGGACCTCAGGGTGTTGGCTTAGAGGATTCAGACTGGAGGGCTCGACAGAGGTCACAGGACAGGGGGTGGACTCCAGGACAGGTCCAAGAGCCCTCTAATATTATGCACAAAATCAGATATACGTGTGCAGCTTTCTGGGATGACCCTCATCAGATTCTCAAGAGTGGTCCCAAATACTTGCCATGATTCCTACTTCAGGCTTTTTTAACGAATACACACACACAGAGGGCTTCAAATAGTGCCTGTCCCACAGATTCAACACGTAAGAGCTACTGTCATCACAGTTATCCTTGGTGGTGGTATTCGGTAGTTTTTGCTATTTTCTTTCTTCCTGAAGCCCCCTAACATAACTCCTCTCCCTCTACCTTTTCTAATAGGAAATCTAGACGTTCCCAGCTCCATTTTATGAATCTTCCTGGGGCCAAGGCATCAAAGAGCTCACGTGCTATCTACACACATTCACTCTCCCTTCAATGGCAACCAGGGGCCACGTGGGAGAGACAGTGGAACCACGAGATGGGAGAAGCCTGGGTCCCCAAGCGGCCCCCAATGGTCCCTGGGCTCTCAGCCAACTTCACTCGAGTGAAAAGCATAGCACCCCCTCCCTGAGCAGGTGGAGTTATTTGTTACTGCAGCACGGCTTGGCCCTGCCTGAAAAACTCGTCCATTAGAGGACCAACCACACCAAGGAGTAAAGGAGACAACACCCAGTGCCCAAAGCATGCAGAAATGCTCAAATGTGGGCAGATGCTATTATGATTCCCTTCTCCTTGGCCTCCAAAGGTTCTTAGGCCTCAGTGATTCTGAGCAGAGGCAGGACCCAGACCCCCAAGGACTCCTCAAGACCTGGGGCCATACAGCAGCCCTGGACAAGCTGCCGACCTGTGACGCGTGGCACATTCCGTGGCAATATCCTCCAGGTGGAACTCAGCCCAGGGGTCGGGCATGTGTTTGGCCTTCTCGATTGCATGCTTCCAAGCTTCCTGCAAAAGGCAAAGGGAAATGTTAGAGCAGGGGCTGTGGGGCAGGGCTGCCCTAGCCTCCTTCTCCCCCGTGATTCCCCAGCTCTGTTCCCAGTAAACTACGTAAGTGAGAGAGAAATAATACTCCCTTCAGTGATCCTTTCAGGAACAGAGTTCCCAACACACCCTGTTTGTTCTCACATGGGCACAGCCTTCCCATGGGCAGAAGAGACATAATGCACGTAGGGAAGCACATTTTTTTTTAAATATTTTATTTATTTATTTGACAGAGAGAGAGATCACAAGTAGGCAGAGGAGGCAGGCAGAGAGAAGGGGGAAGCAGGCTCCCTGCTGAGCAGAGAGCCTGATGCAGGGCTAGATCTCAGGACCCTGAGATCATGACTTGAGCTGAAGGCAGAGGCTTAAACCACTAAGCCACCCAGGCGCCCTGGGAAGCACATTTTAAAGACTTATTTATTTTGCAGAGAGAGACAGAGAGAAAGAGCATGAGTGCATGTGCAAGTTGGGGGTTAGGACCGGGGGAGGGGGGGGAGAATCTCGAGCAGACTCCTGCCCCTCCGTGGGGAGCCCAAATCCGGGCTCCATCCCAGGACCCTGAGATCATGACCCAAGCTGAAATCAAGAGTTGGACGCTTAACTGACTGAGCCACCTGGGCACCCCCAGACTGGAAAACACCTGAATGACCTTTCATAACCAGTGCTGGGGAAACGGGTGCCCTTGCATACGGTCAGTGGGTCAAAACTGCCTCCAAAGGCAACCTGGCAATGTACTGGGATCAAAAATGTGAATTCCTGTATTCTGACCCAGCAATTTTACATCTAGAAATGTGTCCTAGAGAAATACACGAGTCCGCAAACATACACATACAAAACTGAATTCAACCCAATGCCCATCTGTGGGGACTGATTAAATGCACTTTGATTATACCCACTGGAAATGCTACAGAGCCCTTTCAAACAACTGTGCTTACTCTGGGTGGGAACTCTGGACCCTATCAGAGCCAACATCACCTTTTTGGAAATACTGTATAAATCACTTTCATCGCCCTAAATGAAAATTATAGACAACACCATCTTCCTGAACTCGGAATATCTCCAGCCACGCCAAGGATATGTTGCCTTTACATTAACAGAGCCCTAGGTTCTGGGCTCAGATGATTAGGAACAGATTCCCATGAGACATTCCAAGGTCCTGGGGTCACAGGAATATTCCTTGTGCAGGACTGCCTTGCCCATTTCAGGCTTTTAGCATCCACGCCCTCCACCTTCTCAATGCCTTAGTGCCCTACATCATTGTGAGAACCCAAAATAGCCCCCTAAATTTTTAAAACCTTTGAGAACCAGGGTTTCTGGGTATTCACTGGGAAAGACGAGCAAGGCACATTATGGAGGCAAGGCTGATTCTCAACAATATCACCTCCCAACCCCGTTTCTTGTTTTAAAAAGCTCATTTTAGGGGTGCCTGGGTGGCTCAGTGGGTTAAGCCTCTGCCTTCATCTCGGGTCATCATCTCAGGGTCCTGGGATCGAGCCCCGCATCGGGCTCTCTGCTCAGCAGGCAGCCTGCTTCCCCCTCTCTCTCTACCTGCCTCTCTGCCTACTTGTGATCTCTCTCTGTGTGTCAAATAAATAAATAAAATCTTTAAAAAAAAAAAAAAAAGAAAAAGCTCATTTTATTGCTTTTATAATCCCCAAGGTAGAATCCTTCCCTGTCCCCTCCCTACACTCCAGCACCCACACTGGGTCACCATCTCTTCCTGCTCTTTCCCCTGCAGGATCAGTGAGGCCAAAACTCCTTTCCAGAGCCTGAGCCACGATGGGGAGGGGGCTAAACACTGGGGGTGGCAGACCCACAGCAGTTCCAGACCTCCTCACCTGCCATCGGGATCCCTCGGCCATCAGGAGTAGCCCTGTGGGAGCTCAGCTTCCCATGGGCTCAGGCCCAGACAGGACAGCACCCCAACCGTACAGCCAGCCTGAGCCTTGGCCTCACGGTTGGGTTCCTGCCCATGAGAAGAGAAGACAGAGCAACCAAGCTTTCTGAGAAACACGCGCACACGCAAGTTTCCCACGGGCTAGGGCTTCCTCATGGGGGCTTGGGATTCCAATCTCCGCAAAGTCCAGAAACAAAGCCCAGAATTTCTTTCTTCCAATTTGAAAGCAAATGCATGCTTAATGAAAACACTCGGAAAAGAGAAAAGACAAAATTCAAACCCACCACGCGTCATCGACCCAGAGCAATGATTGCCCAATGCTTTGGGCTTGTTCTTTTCCAGATCCTTCTGGTACATCTTTCGTACAACTGGAATCACCCTGTAAATACAGTTTACAGGGCGCCTGGGTGGTTCAGTGGGTTAAAGCCTCTGACTTCAGCTCGGGTCGGGATCCCAGGGTCCTGGGATTGAGCCCTGTATTGGGCTCTCTGCTTGGTGGGGAGCCTGCTTCCTCCTCTCTCTCTGCCTGCCTCTCTGCCTACTTGTGATCTCTCTCTGTCAAAAATAAATTAAAAACAAAACAAAACAAAAAAAAAAAACAGTTTACAGCCTTTCAGGAGAGTGGGCCCATGGGGATTGGTACTTTATATGGTGATCTTACTTTCCTGCTTCCAAATGTATGATCTGCTTACTGTAAAAAACCACACACACTACAGAATGCGAAGTAGAAAGTGAAAGTACTTTGTGACCCAGTGCTCTGAAAACCACAGCTGACGGCTGATTTAGAATCTAAGTTTGTTCCTCTGCATTTGTTAACACGCAGGAATACAGCATCAGGCCAGAGCCCTCGAATTTTGCTCTGCTTCTTACTTTTCTCCTCTTAACATAGGGCCTTGGATGTCCTTCCATGTCGTACATATAGGCAGGCTGGGTTGACCCCATTTTCCTTCTGCAGTTGTGAGACACACAATTATATAAATGTACCTTCAGGTATTTCTCTAACCTCGACTGATGGATACTGGGAATCTCTCCAATAATCCCCAGTGCAGGCAGCCCTGAAGTGAACACCGTCATATGTAAATCCTTACGCCAACTGTGCAAAATCTTGCTAGGACATATTTCTTGGAAGTGTAATTGCTGGGTCACATTGAAAATGTACAAATTGGGGGGAGCCTGGGTGGCTCAGTGGGTTAACGCCTCTGCCTTCAGCTCAGGTCGTGATCCCAGGGTCCTGGGATCAAGCCCCGCATCGGGCTCTCTGCTCAGCAGGGAGCCTGCTTCCACCTCTCTCTCTGCCTGCCTCTCAGCCTACTTGTGATCTCTGTCTGTCAAATAAATAAATA